GCCACCGGAAGCGACGAACGCGTGCCCCGCGCCATTCTTTGGTTCCTCCTCCCGACGGCGAAGCAATTCCGCATGGGCATCTCGCACACCATTTTCGATTTTTTCGCGCGAGGGCGGAATCGGTGACATAGTCAGAATCTTCTTCTCCATCGTGTACTCGTCGGAAACGTGGTACACCATGTGGGCATTGGCATCTTCGTCGAAGAAAATAACACCGTGCGAGGCTAGCCTACTGCGCAAAACAGCAAATCTCCCGAAGTATTCTTGGGGGGTCTCTCCTAATTTCATCTCAAGACCGTGGTATTGGGATGACAACCTTTCCTTCTCGGCTTTTGCACGCGGCTCGTAGTAGTTCAAGAATATTTTCCAACCTCCACTTGGACTACCATCAGCGATGATCTGAGTGAGGATAGGCATGTATGTTGCAGACGTAATCAGCAGGTTCCACGCCGTAATTGCCTTCTCTACGCTATCAGGCGAGTGCATCCTACGCAAGTCCTCCGTGTCTATTCCTTCGAGCCCGACTGGAATTCTGTGGTCACTCAATACCACTTCCCTGACTCCTTCTTGCGCACAAATAACAATCATGTTCGATCGAAAAATAAAAAAATCTTACCCGCTCATCTTCCCCTTGCCTACAAATCCCATCCCAAGGCGCTAGGCGCTTAACCTCGGTCATTCTAAGGGTCGCTGCGCTACTTGGTACTCTACCCGTGTCTGCGGGTGATATCTGAAGGCGGCTGGTCAGAGCGTCGGCGAGAGTGCGGGCGATGTCATCTACGGCCGGGTTCGCCGATGGCCGCCCCGCTTGTTGCTGGTGGCGTGCCTCGTGCCCGCTTCCGGTCCGGACGTTCTCTGTCCTCTGCTCCTCCTCGTCTTGTTGCCGCCTTATGTCGGCCAGTCGTTGTTGTACCCTCACCTGCACCAACTCGTTGATGCGGGCGTCCTCGTCTTCTGCGTGACGGGCGCCTCGTTCTTGGTCGGCGCTGGACATCGGTGACAGCTGCTGATCGCCGCAAAGCGATACTCCAAACTAAGCTCGACGCGAATATCGTAGACGACGTGTCATACGCTAACGTGACCGATAATTCGGGTGGCTCAGTTGTGTAAGATGGGAGTGTAGAGCATCTTGGCCATGACGGGCCGAAGGGGTAGGTAAAGTCGTACAGACGTGTTGGAAAACGTGTTGTATTCATCGGGGGCGTGCTTGAGCTCGTCATTCCATCACGGCATCAAGTCACGCATAACGCTCAAACACCCAAAACGAATCTCCATGAATGCCCACCAATCTACCACACTCCCAAGGAAAACATAAAGAAACTTCTTGTTCCTCCGTAGTTCGTCACTGCAAATCCCGCATATGTATACGCAATATACCACCCCCATGCTATGCTACGAGTATATCGAATAGGGTACACTCACTCTGCGCACACGCACACAAGATGCACCCTCGTCCCACTCTCCAACCGCCATGTTTGTCTCGGCACCAGGCAACGAAACCCGAGAAGAGGTAACAGCGTATTGGTTGTGGTGGTATCTCCTCACCTCATGTAGAAGTGAGTTCCGGAGGTCTTTGTTGTAGCTGTGTCTTTACAGGGCAGAAGTTGCCGCGTCTACGCAGTAGTACTGCTGTAGTCTGTGTACACCGCCGGTGCCAATGGGTTTCCTGCTTGCTTGCTTGTGGATGATCTCGCTGCTTCGCTGGGGTTCATCTCGACCTCCGTGATGGGTAGCCACGGTCTGTGCTGTGTAAGCGAGACGGTGCGCTACAACAGTAGTGTGGTGCGATGGTACGTAGTCTGGTTGCAGACTGCTGCTTGGGTGGATTTCTATCTGAACAAGAATTTGAGGGTGCTTGGTTGTTGTGCAAGGCGGGGAACCGGCGGGAAAGGCGGGGAACTGGCGGACAAACCACTCTTGAAGATTCAATGTGATGACAACCGCTTCCATAGTTCTTTTGCATGGCATGGTGGAGATGCTGACTTCATGAATCCGGATGGCATCGTTCCGAGATCGTAACGGCGAATTGACAACGCCGACGACCAACGGGACAAAATCTTGTCGGGATGTTGTGCTAAACAACGAAAATCGCAAGGCCATCACTTACCGATGTCGCTGCCTAGGCGATTCCTTGCTGCTAGTTCGTGATACGGGAGTAATTTCATTTATGTGATGTTTACCTGCCTTCGTGGAGATTCAACTGCAACCTGGAACCCGCTGCCTGGAGGCGGGTTACCTTCCCCAACTGTGGACGAAACGCCACACTTCATTTTTCGAGGGGGGGGGGAGTCTGAACACGACCAGCCAACCACGACCCCATCTGTTTATGACTCGACTCGGTAATCTCGGCGCGCTTGGCGAGCTCCCGTTCTTTCTTCGACATTATTGAAGAGGGGGGTGTAGAGATGCGCGCAGAGAGATGGGACCTGAAAAGTCTCCGATGCATCCGCACAGCACGCGCGCGCTCGAAACCGTCGTTCCTTGGACTAGATCTCTTGGTCATATGTTGCATCCATCTCTCAGTTCTACCCAGCTTTAGGGCAACAGTCTAGCCCCTCTCTCTCCGAGGTTACATAGACCAACACCTTTATTTAAAATGAGTTGTTTGCCTTTATTTAAAATACACCGAGGTTTCTCCACCTACTTTTTTGTTGTGCTGGACTTGAATTCCCGTTACGGACGGGCCCCCTGCATCATCTGCGGGAGGCACAGACGCCGTATACAGCAGTGCGATTTGTGTTCGCGACGTGCTCTCACCACATGACATGAAAAGGTGAACCTACTCAGAATGAAACTCTTTAGCATCAGCATGGGTGTTCATGACTTACTTCTGAGCGCATGTGTCACTTGCTCTGCTGCTGCACATCGAAGCTCGAGTGGAGTAATTACACCAGGAGTTGAATTCCAACGGAGGTTCTCCCGAATAAGTTGCCTCACACCAGACGGGTTGGCAAACGAACAACAGCAAACAACATATTCGCCTGATTGAGAGCGTAGCATCTGATTGAGAGCGAGATTGCGCGATACGCTGTAGCCGGACTACCACTGAGAGGTGGAGCTTGCTGTGTAGCTTGAATTGAAGGGCTAGCCCGTAGCTTCAAGCCGCTACCCTGGTCATCCTGTGGGAGTCTCTCGTTGTGGAGCTACAGCGGGGAGCAGAAGCTACAGCAGAGCCCACCGCCCGACGCGATACCGCCCTGAAACAGTTTGAGCAGAAATAGCCAATCTGGGCAAATCTAGCAACTTGTCTAGCTCCTCGCTGCAGCATCCGATGACGATGACACGCATATGCTCGCGAAGCTGCTGATGAGACCTTCAATTTGCACCGCTTCTTGGAATAGCCCGTCCCCTACTTGCCAAGAAATGGCAAGAGGCGTCTGGACCCGAAATTTCAATTTTTTTGGCTCTCGCTCTCAATCAGAAACTTCGCTCTCAATCAGGCGAATATGTTGTTAGCATCAAAATAACACATTTGCCTGTAGTCTGTAGTCGTGCGCTGGTCTCGTTACTATATCTGCCGTTGATTTTTATTGGCTTGCGGACCCTTCGGGTCCGTTTATTGTCGTGTTCGTTGTTTGGGTAAGTAAGTCTGTGACCACGGGAATCGACCCCGTCAAGTGTTAGACTAGTACGGACACAACAAGGTACTGGGCAGAGATAACGGGAGGTTTTAATGTAACAACAACAGCAACAACAACCACATTAGTATCTGGGGTTTCGGGACCTTTGTGGCAGACGCCCACGGAAGACGTGCGTGTCAGTTGGACTGGTACAGATGGAAGAAGGTACTGAGCAGCGATCTAGACGGATGTTGTTTAGAACACAACCATAGCGACAAACGAAGCAACAACAACACGGCCGGAAGTCATGCCTCTTTGTGGCGTGAAACCTGTCACCTCTACGGGTACATTTTTTTAATATAATAACTCGTACTGCCAGCTGCCTTGGAAAATCTTCATCATCTCGTGGTATCAGGTGCGCCCCGCGCCTTGAATGGCCTGACTTAGACTGACCGAGAAGAGTATCAGGCTCTCCACGTTCGTGTGTCACGGTGTGTTTCTGCACATCTGAACGAGAACGTGCTTGTCACGTTACCACCACCCCATTGGAGCCATAGTCGTGATGTTGCAATGATTTGTGTTCCCGTCAGGCCCGCCGTACCGCCAGACTCTAGACACGACAGAAACCAACGTGAGCAATACGCCATAATCGACATCAAATGTCGTTGGGCACACGAAGGTGCTCCCCTTGGCGGCAGTTGTGCGTGGCGCTTGTTGTAGGTATGGGTTACGCCTCAATGTGTGGGCAATTGGGCGTGCACTACACGTACCACTTCTGGACAATGCAAAATACGCTGGGCGTTGAGAATCTTTGCACAACTCCTGATTTCTCTTTCACTCATTTCTACCCGACCATGTGCGTTTTCTTAACTCATCACACCGGGACGTGTGTGCACGTGCATGGAGTCACAGAAGCACATGTGCATCATGTACCTTGGAGCTTCAAAAACGATCGGGGAGAGCAGCCAAACGGTTGCACCGCAACCATTACTATGTGTTTCACGGGGAATATCGACAGCACCCAACAACCGAACTCCTCTCTGTAGAGATGAAGAATGGTTCCGATGAAACATCCGCGACTAGCAGCAACGTTATGCCAAACTCAGACACGCGCGTACGCGTACATGCAGCAATAGTCTAGTGATAAAACGTGCACACCACAGAAATGAGGCAATAGAGTGGGAGCAAGACACCCACCCAGGGAGTATACGAGTACCAAACGGCAAGCTGATGGACACCACTCTCTTGTTGGTGTCGTCTGCACAAGTACCGCACGCGCCACACATTTTCTTCACCAACAACTAGCAAACGTGTCTCTCGTCTGTCTACATAGATGTCAGAAAGCGTCTAACTGGCCTAGCCACTCCAAGGTGTCCACTTACTTACTTGTAGAGCCTCTTCCCTACGACCGAGCCTTGCCGGGTTCGCCCTCGCAGGACTGCAAACCGCTTAATAACCATACTGTATTCCCCGCCCGAGCAACAACTACGAACATTCTTGTCCCGAAGGCGATTCTGGTAGCTAGAAGATTAAAAATGCACATAATCAATACACAGAGTATGCTATCCGAGATGGACACTTCTAATCGTTGAGTATCGCAATATAGTCTCCCTACGATGAAGAAACAGGAATCACATAACAAAAACTGAAACCAGAGTGAGAAATTACAGTACACGCGCATTCCTTGCTACGACCAGAGTAACACCCGCACATCGCGCACGTGAACTCCGCGCTTGTTTCCGGCGTTGTGGGAAGATATCCTGCACAAATAAAACTCAATGTCAATGCCGACATATAAGGCGGTACCTCAACAATCATTAACAACAGCCTACTAGTATTGCGTCATCGAGTGTGTGTTAGTACTGCCGGCTTGAATACCAGCTTATCACCGAAAGATCACGCGATCCGGTACTTCTGGGTTTGACCGGGGGTGAGTGAGACCTGAGAATGTGACCTGTGCCGTGGGCGCCCAATCACAAACCGGGCTGGATCACTGCGGACTATTAGGTGAATCGCATCTCATGATTATCTCTGAAATGACCTACCCATCTGGCCTATCGGATAGCAATAAGTGAGAAATATGTTGCTGGCAACCGTATTTGTACAGGTGTGTAGTTGATTCTCGCTGTTGGGTGCAACCCGAATGTTCACCACCTCCCCATCAACCGAGTTCGATGCTAAGGGCTGGTGGAGGAAACCTCGCATAGCGTTTCACACGGCTTATTCATTGGCAATACAAGCACCCCAAGCGTTGCAGCATGAGAACTGTCATGCGCTCCAAGGTCAAACAGTCAACACATTTTATTGGCATTTGAGCACTGATGCACTGATAAGCTATTGCTAGACTTCTCTCGAGAGTAGAGTACACACGAAATGGTGACTACAAGACAACGAATGCACAGCTGGAGCACCAACACTCTCGACTGATCTGGTTCTCTGCACAGGAACAGACGGTGTGCAGACGAGAGCTGTTAGATATACTCGCAGCAGTATCTGGTCGTGAGGATCCCAGGGGGATATAACTCTCTCTCTCAACCTCTCTCTCTCGGCCTAACACGGCCGACTACCCAGTGCCCCAAAGCAACGTCCAGAACGTGCTTGCTGCACCCCGCGTAGTCTACCGTTCACACTAGTGCGACGATATCACGGTATCTGCGCGCGGGCGTAGCCTTCCCGGGGTTGCAGCCACGCGCAATCGGTAGACTCCCACAACAACATAAACCATGGAGGGCATCGACCTCTCCGCCCTTAGCGGGGAAGCGCTACAGCAAAAAGTGTAGGAGATCGTCCAGCAACGAGTACAAGCCGAACTTGAAGCCAACAGGATCAACGAGGGTGAAGCAACCTACGCCCAACCACCATCAGCCGGCAATTCAGTCCCACCTACCGACAGCCAGCCATCACCCTCCAACCAGGGTAAAACAGCTACCTTCAACGACCCCAGCAGCGTCGCACACATCGTGGCGCAAGCGGCCAAGGCGACAGCTGAGGCCATCGCTGAACAACAGGGCTTTGCCCGCTCAGGCACGTTACGTGTAAATCCAGGCTCAGAAATCGAACCTTGGCTTGGTAGTGTGAAGAAGGAGCAGGATCTGTACATTATGTTTGATATTTTTCGTGGTAAGATGATTTCATATTTTCAGGAGGAGGGTGTGCACGATGCGTTGGAACTGGAGGTTGAGGTCAAGGTCGGGAAAAGGGGTGTGAATGTAGGAGACCTTCGGAGACTTTTTGGTAATGAAGTGGTAGACAAATCTTTCAAATTGTGGAATATCCTTATCAGCAAGGTTTTGTATCCCCCGATTCAGAGCTTGATTCTGGCGTGTGAGAGTCCTCAAAAAGGCTGGAAAATAGTGACAGAATTCTATCAGGAGAAAAAGCAGTCAGAAAAGTCGAGGTTGGAGCAGGACTGGAAGGAGTTGGAGATGAAAGAGTCCGAGAGTCCACAGGATTACATTGCCCGCTCAGAGGCCCTTCGCCTGCGTCTCGCATCTGTAGGCACGATTAAGGATGAAACAGATGCCAACAAAGACATTGCTCGTGGCCTTCCCTCTTCGTTGTATGCCGTGCTAAAAAGAATTCTGCTTGCCCATAGTGTCCTGACGTTGCGTATGTGGTGAGGGACGCCAACGTGGAGATGGAGCGCGAGAGGAGCAAGGGGGAGAGGCGCGAGGTGGAGCTCGCTCTCGCCGCGTCCGGCATGGGCCAGCGCGGCGGGAGAATTGGGGGGCATCCGGGGGTCGAGATGGCGGTCAGGCAGCAGCTGGCGGCAAACATCGTGACGGAGAGAAGAAAAGTAGTGACGTGTTCAACGACGACCCCGGCGGATTTTGCCGCTACCACCAGTCCGAGCTTCACACCAACGAGCAGTGTCGTCTCCGGCAGCAACTGCGGCGCGCTCATTCGCGAGGGAGCGCCGCGGAACGCCGCTCGGGCGGCGGCAGCCGCGGTGGCGGCGGTAGCCAGCGAGGGGTTAGACCGCCGCCGGGGCCAGGCCGCGGTGGCGGGCGATGGGTGAGGCTAGAAGGGCAGCAGCACCACACCGGTCATGGTGGCGGTGGCTGGAGCCAAGCCTCGCCCCACGGAGACCTCTCCGTGGACGTGGGCCTGGTGGTCGTCTGGGGCGTCACCCGGGGGGTCGTGGGCCCGCGGGACGTCACAGCAGCGACGGTCGTGCCGAGAGAGAACGGGCAGGGAGAGGCCCGGAGCACGCGCGTTCTGGGCACGGAAGAGAGCAGGCGTACGTTGTGTACGACGCCCACGATGATGGTGGCTACTACGAAGACTACGGCGACTACGACGACGGCTACTACTACGACGACGGCTACCACGACGCCGGGTACGCCCACTACGCCGGCGGTGGGGACAGCTACAGCGTCTCCTCAGGGTACGAAGACAGCCGCTCATCCGACGGCGGCATCCACTACGTCTACTACCTTCCTGCCGGCGAAGATTCGTCATCCGAGCAGCCACGTCAGCCTCCCCCCGCGAGCAGCAGCAGCATCGCTTCCTCCTCGTCCTCTACCCCTTCTCCTGGCGCGACTCCATCTCCGGGCTACCTCCACCTCTGCACGGCACAATCGGTGCCCATAGGCAAGTCTCACCCTGACGATTTTATTGGTAGGATAGGAGTGACGATTGGAGTAGAGTCTGCTGCGTCTGCTTCGTCTTTGCTGAGTGTGGAATCTAGTGAGGGGCCGCCTGGTAACGAGAGATGGGTAGCTGACTCAGGAGCCAGCAACAGTTTCACCAACAGCAGCCTACACATGTATGACCTGCAAG